GCAGTTTACTTGGCATCTGAATATACACTGCTCAAAAAAATAAAGGGAACACTTAAACAACGCATGCTAAGTCCAAGTAAATCAAACTTTTGTGTACAGAACAAAGTACTCAATGCGAATATTTCATTGATTAAGATCGGGAGTTAGCGTGCGTTGTTTAAGTGTTCCCTTTATTTTTTTGAGCAGTGTATATTAATGGTCGTGACAGAAAGATAAGGGCGACAGGAAAACATGGCTTTTTAATTTTTAACAAAATTGCTAAAGTAATGTTAAGCACAACTCAGGGTCAAATAGCACAAAAATATGACCTTAGATCATCAGAGAGTGATTATTTGAACAAAGCTCAAAAATAACCACCAGACAAGTCAAGTCAGTCTCTCATACCTGTCCCAACCCCTTAGATGTGTCCAGAGGAGGAACAGTGGTCCCTCCCTATTGGGAGGATATTAGAGATGTTAGAGAAGCAGCTTTAGCACTGCTTTAGTTCCAGTCCCTGGATTCAACACTAAACTCCACTTGTTCTTAATTTGCTGATTGGTGTGTGAATGGACTTGTTGTTAACATGTTTAGATAAACAAATGAGAAGTACTCGAAGACAATTTTTTTTAGTTTTTTCATTAGTTCATTGTTTTCAGTTATCTTTGGTTAAACTGGTTGACCATATTCACTGTTTTTGTTGTGTTGTTGTTTATATTCACTTGTAGTGCAAACATCAACAACTTACCATATCTACCTCAGATATACTGTCCAAGCTCTCCACTTGAACATCTACTCCTACAGGAACTGCAGGACCTGCAGAGAAACATACATTCATAGATCACAGTTTGGTATAATTTAACATGACTCATGGTGGTCTTTGGGGCTGTACTGCCTGGACATCAGCCCCTGGTAAAGTCTCCATGTCAGGGGACAGAAGAAGAACATATTTGAAAATTTCAGTGRAACAACTTCATAATGAACAGTCCTGATGCGTCTCAGGCCCTGGAGTATTGTGGTTATCCTAACTGGAATTTCCTGAAAGGAGACAAGAAACAAGAAACCCAAACAGGACTCTAGCCAACTACTGGGTGAAAAGGAAGACCMCCAAACCAGTGGTCATTCCATATGTTGCTGGAATTTCAGAGAAAATGAGATGTTTATTCTCTAAACATGACGTCCCAGTGGCTTTCAAACTAAAAAAAAATTATGGCAAAGGCTGGTTCACCCCAAAGATCCAGTTCCCCGGCACAAACAGAGTAATATTGTGTAGGCTGTTAAGTGTCATGAGGATTGTGACCAGTTATACATCGGGGAAACAAAGCAGTCACTGCTCAAAAGAATGAGCCAGCACAGAAGAAAAACATCATCATGTCAAGATTCTACAGTTTACACTCATCTACAGGCCAGGACTCTACAGTTTACACTCATCTACAGGCCAGGACTCTA